TGCGTCGTCGTCGTCGCGTCATCGTCGTCGTCGTCGTCGTCGCCACCGCCGCTGCCGCGGCCGTCGTCGTCGTCGTCGTCGTCGTCGTCTTCGTCGTCGTCGTCGTCGTCGTCTTCGTTGTCTAATCTACAGCGAGCCCGCGCAGCCCCCCCCCCTTAGGGCATCCGCAGTGCGTCGTCGTCGTCGTCGCCGCCGCCATCGCCGTCTGCCGTCCGGCGTCCTTCGTTTTCGTCCTCGTCCTCCTCGTCATCGTCTTCGTTTTCGCGCACGTTTTCGTCCTCGTCGTCGTCGTCGTCGACGACTACAGAGACCACGACAGCGGTGGGGAGGAGGACTGCCCGCCTTGCTCGGGTCGGACGACAGCCTGGGGAAGGAAAGGGGGGGGGTGCGAAACCTGCTGCGCGCAGCTGGTTTCGGTCGCCCCGTCGAGGGGCCACTCCTCGATGCGTGGCCGTTTTCGGCGCCAGGCGGTGCTCGTCAACATCAGCAATGTGAGCTGCTGGGGGGCAAATCCTTGCGTGGCCACGCCCCTCTTTCGTCCAGCCCGCCTTGCTCGCGGGCCCGCGCGGCAGCTGGCGCCCCCCTGGCTGCGGCCAGGGCGAAGGAACGCATCGGCTCGGCAGAAGCACCACGGACAGTGCGGGGGCGAGCGCCGACAGCAGTTCTTCTTCGTTTCGAGCAGGTGTCGCCCTGGCTTGCGGTCCCTGCTTCTGCCGCCTTTGCCTCTCGCCCCTCCCCTCCCTCAGTCTGTGCTGTGTGTCGCCTTCCCGCTGGCGGCTGGGCGTCGGCGCCAATCATCAGCGCCGCTGCCGTTTGCAATCTGGCAAGTGCCACCCCGCGATTCGCCCGAGCAGGGGAAATATTTGTTTTAAACACGCGCCCCCATATATTTGTTCATCACAAGCTGACCTTAGGGAAGTCCTCGCGACTGCACCTGCGCGGCCCGGCCGAGGCCCGATGACTGGGCCAGTCACCGCCAGCGCTGGTTTGGGTGCGTGTTGTTTTGTTGCGCTTCTGTATACATACACACATATATATATATATATGTATATATAGATTTGTATGCATAGAACAGTTACACCTGTAATTGTTATGGTTGGAAAACACACGTGCGATCACAACCATAACCACAAACACAACCGCGACCGCAACTGCAACCCCAACCGCAAACACAATCACAATCACACACAAACGCACCAACACGAAAACAAACAAACGCACACACAAACAAAAACAAAAAGAGTACGCCGATAACTGACGAACGCGCCTGGGATTTCTTGAGCCCCTAGGCGGTTCGCCCCTCGCTGATGTCCCCCCCCGCTACCGTTGCCCCGTACCCTACCTCCGGGACTTCCCTCTCTGAGGCCGAAACCATGTCGACCCCCACGATTCGATCCGGTTCGACTTCGATTGGTTCCGATTCCGATTCGATTCGCTTTCTGTTGCGATGCTCGATTTCCACGTCGCTTCGGTTCCGATTCGATTTGGTCCGGTTCCGATACGATTCGGTTTCGGGCTCCGACCAGGATTTCGGTATCTCACTGGGGGCTTTACTAGCCGCGATTCCTGGCGACGCGACTTCTCCCAACATGGCCGCCGATGTCCGCCGGTCCGCACTGTTTCGATCGCCGATTCGACACATGGGCTCGATTCTGGGCGCTACCCCCACCCTATGCTTAAGTCGGGCCTGTCCCTCAGCAGGAGGAATATTCAAAAATTGTCAAAGGAAGTGGTATGGGGACTATTGTTTGATATGTTTGAGCATTTGGGAACTACTTTCTATTATGCTTTATTTTTCGCCCGAAATCACCCTGCAGGGGGCAGGCCCGACCCAACCCTATGCCCATCCCACCCTACGGCCAAGACGTCGAACCAAGGAACAGGTTGGGTTCGGAAGGGGCTCGATGCTACACAGGTCCTTTTTAGGGTTGCTTCTCCAGCGGTTTTGGGGCTGTCCGTCAGCGTCGACTAGCGTCTGGTAGGCGATGAGGTAGCGCCGATCTAGCGTTGGCCAGCGTCGATTCAGCTTCGATACGCGTCGATTCGCAAGAGCCACTTAAAAGGGTATGGGAGGCTCGCGTGAGTTGCCACCGAAGGAGAGGTCCTCCTCCTGATCCTCCTCCTCCTCCTCCTCCTCCTACTCCTCCTCCTCCTCGTTCCTCCTCGTTCCTCCTCATCTTCCTCCTCTTCTTCCTCCTCCTCCTCGTTCCTCCTCGTTCGCCCTCCTCGCTGAATGGGAGCAGCCAGACGTTTGGGCACCGCCGCCCCCCCCACAACACTGGCTGGACAACGCCCAGCGGCCGCCGCCCGACCCCCGCAGCACGCCGCCGCCGGCGGCCGCGCCGGGCACGCCGCCGCCGCACGGGCTGTCCTCCGTGCGGGACCTGGACGGGGGCACCACGGCGGGGCAGGAGCCACGCCATGCCGGGGGGCCCACCTAGATCTCCCGGAGATCCAAATCCCAAGAATCAAGATCTTGATTCTTGGGATTTGGATCTCGTCTTCTTGGGATTTGGATCTCGGCGGAATCAAGATCTTGATTCTTGGGATCCTGATTCTTGGGATTTGGAAGAATCGAGATTCTTCAAAACGCAAACTGCGAAAACCGTCCGTCGACGGACGGTTTTCGCAATCTTCGGCCCCTAGGGGCCCTCGCCAGGCCCCGGGACCCAGGATGGACAGCCGGTCCTGGAGAATGGGTCCACCCTTCTGGGACCCGGCGTGGGAAGGAGGACGAGGAGGAGGAGGAGGAGGAGGAAGAGGAGGAGGAGGAGGAGGAGGAGGAGGAAGAGGAGGAGGAGGAGGAGGAGGAGGAGGAGGAAGAAGAGGAGGAGGAGGAGGAGGAGGAGGAGGACGACATCGGATCTCTGGGAACCACGAGACGTCTTTGTTAAGGGTCCGGCGACGGTCCCGGTTCTCGGGCTTTTGACCCCCTTTCCCCCCCCCCCTTCCCCCAGGAGCACCTGACCTTGATGGACCCATTTTCCACCACCACTACCATAGGTAGGAGGAGGAGGAGGAGGAGGAGGAGGAGTAGGAGGAGGAGGAGGAGGAGGAGGAGGAGGAGGAGGAGGAGGAGGACCTCCTCATCCTCTCTTCTCCCAAGTCCTGCATATGGTAGTGGTGGTGGAAAATTTGCCCATCAGACCTTGCCGGTTGTGTAGGTCCGGGGTGGGGGGGGTGGGGGCGCGGGCGAATGCAGGGCTGCCCACAGCGCGAAGGTTAGATTATCGGCCGGCCCCCTCCCCCCCCGAATTACCTGGGCTATCGTCGATAACAAAGAGACAGTCTCCTCGCGCAGTGAACACGTCGCGACGGAAGGCTTTCCCCACATCCAAAGTGGGGTTATTGTTTTCGTTGGACACCCTCCGCGCAAGAACCTCCCTCCCTCTCTCGGCCTCACTCACGCATTCACCCCGTCATCGGTCATCATCACCATCGGTCATCACCATCACCACCATCATCATCATACTCCGTCACTCACCATCGGTCACCATCACCATCGGCCATCGATCATCATCATCATCATTATCATCATCAGCAACAGCAGCAGCAGTATTACCACCACCGCCATCATCATACCCAGTCGCACATCACACACTCTCTCTCATCACTCAGCATCATCAAGCGGGAGCCTCGTCTGCGAGTGAACTGTGAAGAAGTCTCAGACAGGAGCCCCCTCCCTATGGGGCCCGCACTTCATGTTGGTAATCCGAGAGGGTCCAGCCCCCGTGCCTCCTCCTTCTGCCTCTCCTCCCCCGACGACGACGACGGCGACGACGACGACGACGACGACTTCGACGACGGAGGCGGCGACCATAGCAACGACGACCACGACGACGACGACCACGACGACCACGACGACGACGACGACGACGACGACGACGACGACGGCGACGGCGACGACGACGGCCACCGCAGCGGCAGGAGCGTCAGGATACACACTTTTCGAGGCTGTCTTCAGCATCGACGATGGTTTGTAGCAGGCCTCGAGAGCGGCGACATATTTGTTTTTCGCAGCCCTTCCAGGGATGGGGAGTTCCCGTTTGTGTCTGCGTGGGGTCCCACTGTGCTGGCTCACCCAGCAGCCCTCGAAAGTGGCGACAGTTTCACACTTTGCAGCTGCCCAGTGATGGCGAGTTCCCGTTTGGGTCTGCGTGGGGCCCCTCTTGGCGGTCCCTCAGCAGGCAGGTGCAGGCAGGCGAGGGGGGGACAGACGGCGGAAGGAGGAGAACGGAAGACTGGAGACCCATTGTTTCATTCAAAACGAAAAACCAGGGGAGCGTTGAAAACAAAAACTCAGGGTGTGTCGCGGGGCGGGGCGTCGGCGGTTCGCGAGGCTCGAGCGCCAATGTAACGAAGGACGCCGCAGGCGCCAGCTTCTCTTCAGCACGATCAGCCCGCCTCATGCGGCGATTCGATAGCCTTCAGTTCAGTGTTGTTGGAGGGTCGCCTGTGGGTCGCGGCTGAGTCGTGGGCGTGAGTCGCGGTTATGGGTTGCCGGTGGATCGCGGGTGGGTGGCGGGATGGTCGGGGGTCGTTCGCAGGCGGGTCGCGGGTTGGGCCGAGGGGATCGTGAAGCGGGTCGTGGAGGCGACCATGAAGAAGACGACGGCAAAAACACAACACAGCCAGGATCGGCACGACGGAACTCTTTGTCGGCCACGCGCCCGGGGACAATGTGAGACCGTTCGGAAAGAATGGGTCTTATGCCCAACAGCGGTTCCTGTTCATTCTGAACAGGGCTCGCTGTCCGCGCCGCCGCGGCCTGTGTCCATTCGAGACAGGAGGCCGCCCGCCCAACAGCGGCCGCTGTTGGCTTGGGACAACATTTGTTGTTGGGCATTGTACACATTCTTTCGGTACCCATTTCGGGTGTCCAAACCCTCGCCACGATACGCGTAAGTAAGTGCCACTCTGCGGGACTCTGCTCCGCTGCGCTCCCGCGACCGCGCCCCCTCCCGCCTCTCCGCCCCTGGCCCGCGGCCGCCCCGCTCGAGCCGCGGCCCCCGCGGGGCTCCGAGGCGCCCCCCGCCCGGCTGGCCCCGCTCGCCGCGGCAGGCCGCGCGCCCCTCCCGCCCCGGCCTATACTATTACGGATGGTCGACGCGGGTTGGCAACACACGGTGCTGCTCCGGAGCGACGGCACTGTCGCAGCCTTCGGCGACAATGAGGGAGGCCAGTGCGACGTGCCGGCGCTGGAGGGAGGCGTGACCTACACGCACGTCGCCGCGGGTGCGTGCCACACGGTCCTGCTCCGGAGCGACGGCACGGTCGCAGCCTTCGGCGGCGACAATGAGGAAGGCCAGTGCGACGTGCCGGCGCTGGAGGGAGGCGTGACCTACACGCACGTCGCCGCGGGTACCTACCACACGGTCCTGCTCCAGAGCGACGGCACGGTCGCAGCCTTCGGCCGCAATGAGGGAGGCCAGTGCGACGCGCCGGCGCTGGAGGGAGGCGTGACCTACACGCACGTCGCCGCGGGTGCGTTCCACACGGTACTGCTCCGGAGCGACGGCACGGTCGCAGCCTGCGGCGAGAATTCGTTCGGCCAGTGCGCTGTGCCGGCGCTGGAGGGAGGCGTGACCTACACCCACGTCGCCGCGGGTATCTTCCACACGGTCCTGCTCCGGAGCGACGGCACGGTCGCAGCCTTCGGCGACAATGAAGGAGGCCAGTGCGACGTGCCGGCGCTGGAGGGAGGCGTGACCTACACGCACGTCGCCGCGGGTGCGTGCCACACGGTCCTGCTCCGGAGCGACGGCACGGTCGCAGCCTTCGGCGGCCACAATGAGCAAGGCCAGTGCGACGTGCCGGCGCTGGAGGGAGGCGTGACCTACACGCACGTCGCCGCGGGTGCGTACCAGATGGTCCTGCTCCGGAGCGACGGCACGGTCGCAGCCTGCGGTTACAATGAGGAAGGCCAGTGCGACGTGCCGGCGCTGGAGGGAGGCGTGACCTATACCGCGCGCCTGTTTGGAGTTAAGCTGCTCCTGCAGGCATCATTCGACGGCGGCTCACTGCGCTTTTTGACCTTGGGCGGGGTGGAGCGCTGCCGACTCCTGGCCGCCCCTGGTGCTCTGCTCGCAGATGTGCACCACCAGCTGCTGGCTGAGCATACCGCAGGGAGGCTGGGCCAAGGATTCGACCGCGTCGACGCCGTCCTGCCAGAGAGGCTTCTCCTGAGTGAGGTCTCGGCCGACGAGACCGTCGCAGAGGTTTTTGGGCCCGCTCAGCGCGGCTAGAAGCAGAAACGCCTGGCTCGGCGGTCCTCCTGTTCTTCTCGAAGGGGGTGATGGGGGCGAATAGCCCAGGGGCGGGACCCCTTTCCATTATTAGACAACTCTTCGTCCGACTACCAGACGTGCTGGCGGGGCGTGCCAGGCGTTTCGCCTGAGACTTCCTCCACTTTCATGACCCCGAAGCTTTAAGTTTCTCATCGTTTCAGGGGTGGAGAAAGCTTGCTTCTTCACAATGAGGATCCTTCCTGAGGGCCGCGCGCGTTCGTCTGCAACGTAACTACCTATCCAGTTGCCTTCGGCCCACCCCGCCACCGCGCCTGGGTTGTCAGTCAGAGGAGGTGGAGGTGGAGGTGAAGGTGGTGGAGGAGGAGGAGGTGGAGAATGCCTGGTAGGATCTGTTGGGGGCCCTCTCGGAGGCCTCTCGGGAGCGGCTTTTGGGGCGGCGTTGGGGGCCCCTCGGGGGCCTCTTGAGGTGGGGTCTCCTCGGGGGGGGCTTTTCGCGGGGGGCACCTCGGGGGCCTCTTCAGGGGGGGGGTCTTGGGCCATCTTGGGGCGGGGGGCTCGACGTGTCGTTTCAGGGTCCCCCTCTTGAGGTCCCTCCTGGGGCTGTCCCAGGGGCCTCTTGAGACCCTCGGGGGCTCCTGGGCCGTGTTTGGGCGATCTTGGGCGCTTCTTGGGCCGTCTTGGGCGCTCTGAAGGCTATGAAGGCGGCAATGCGAACACCACACAGAGCCTTTTGATTTAGACAATGTTTGGCATCTTGGGCCGCTCGCTCTACTGGACTTCCAAGACAGCCCAGGAGGCGCCCGAGAGGGTTCCAGTACGGTCCTTGGGTCATCTTGGGCCATGCCAAACATGCATGTCGGGACCACCGAGCTCTTGGCTCTGGCAGAGTTACGCGAGCAACCCCACAAGCGCGCAGGAGCGCCCGCAACTCCGGGCCACGGACCGCTAAATAAATGGATAAGACAAGACAGGGAAGCGCCGGTTTTGTCCGTGGTGCTCGTAGGGGGGAACGGATGAGAAGGATGATGGCGACGCCAAGGCGGCGGATGACGAGGCTGAGAGCGTGGATGACGGGGAGGACAGCGAGGGAAGCAGGAGGACAGCGAGTCGGAAGGCAAGCGCTAGAGCGAGGAGGAGGAGGAGGAGGAGGAGGAGGAGGAGGAGGAGGAGGAGGAGGAGGAGGAGGAGGAGGAGGAGGAGGAGGAGGAGGAGGAAGGAGGAGGAGGAGGAGGAAGAGGAGGAGGAGGAGGAGGATCAGGAGGAGACACATTTCGAAAAATCTTGGCCTCGCTCGGTGCAGTCCGGCCTCGTGGCCCCCAGGCTGCGTCCGACAGTCTTCCCCGGCGCGGGCCTCCCAGGAGCCGCCTCTCCCAAGCGGCGGCGCCTAGGAGCAGTGCCAGGCGCCATCCTCCTCCTCCTCCTCCTCCTCCTCCCTCCTCCTCCTCCTCCTCCTCCTCCTCCTCCTCCTCCTCCTCCTCCTCCTCCTCCTCCTCCTGCCGCTCGGATACATCGCGCGGACCGGTTCTTCCCTGGCGGCCAGAGCGCGAAATTGCTTCGGATCCTCCTCCGTTCCGACGACGACGCCGAAAGCAGCGATAACGACGACGACGACGACGGTCAATACGGCCACCGAAGCTGCAGTAGCGACGCAAGGGGTGAGAGGGCAGGGGATGGGGAGGGACGGAAGGATGGCGGAGGAGAGAAGGAGCAGGAGGATGCGGAGGAGAAGGAGGAGGAGGAGGCGGAGGAGGAGCAGGAGGAGGCGGAGGAGGAGCAGGAGAAGAAGGCGAATGAACAAGAGGAGGACGAGCAGGAGGCAGAGGAGGAGGAGGAGGAAGAGGAGGAGGTCGAGAAGGAGAATGAACAGGAGGAGGATGAGCAGGAGGCAGAGGAGGAGGAGGAGGAGGAGGAGGAGGAGGAGGAGGAAGACCCGCAGCCTGGCCAGTCAGTGGTCCTCCCCGAGGGGACGCGCAGGTCGCCCTCTCCCGCGGCGGGATCGGGGGCTGCGAGGGGCGTGCGGGGGGGGGGCGGGGGGGGGGGGGGGGGGGGGGAAACCTGCAGCCTCGGCGAGGACGTGATCCCTCAGCGCGGGCGCTTCTTGCGCTCGCGGAGCCAGTACAGGAGGAACACTCGAACACAGTCAAAGAGTAGCACGGGGACGATGTTTGGATTCTTGCTGCTATTTTTTATTCGTGCTTAATGTTTCGTCCAACATCCGCCTGTCGGGGGGCATGCCCGATCTGACAGTACGAGTCGGCGGCGCGGCACCACTGAGATCCGACGCTGCGAAACAGGTCAACATCGCGAAAGGTCGTCGTCAATTTCTTACAGTGGAGACCCATACCAAGGAGCACCCTGCTTGCCTCCAGGGTCCCCTTGGTTTCTGGGGCTTCGATTGTTCTGCGACGTCAGGTGTTGCGCTCCCGCGCCAGAGCATCGACGGACGTCCTGGGGTCTCAGGATTGGGTTTCGCGTGGAAGGCTGCTTCTGGAGCGGCCCCCACTCTGCGCCGACCTCGCGGCTGAGGAGGGGTCCGACCAGCCTCCACGGATGACCCCCCCCCCCCCCCCCCCACCGAGAACGAAGCATTGCAGCACGGGGTCAAGATTGCCCGGCTGGTACTCCAGATTTCGTAATAAAGGGAGGGGGGTCTGATTTCGGGGGGGGTCTCTTCCAGGCTATCTTGGAGGGCCTGGGGGAGTCTGGGGACGATGTTTTGGAGGGTTCTCCCACGGGGGGGGGTCTGAAATGGTTTGTCTTGGAGGGTCCAGACCCCCTCCCTTTTATTACGAAATCTGGAGTACTTGTTGGCGGGAGTGGAGCTCCTGCAGGTTTGTCCAAAGCTGCAGTTTCGTGTTCTGGCCCGCGTCCCGCCGAGCCAGGACACTGATGCTGCCACTCCAGGGGTGTGCCAGGACCGGGCCCAGATGAGCTCTTGTTGGCGCGATAGGGTTTGTCTCGGGGGCCCCCGTGCGAAATCAAAACCGATTGGTGGAACGTGCTCGTGAAAGCCCCGTCCGTACCAGGAAGTGTTCGAGACCCTGGGTTACATAGTCATTGCGTTTCCTTGCCCAGGCATGTTTCTCGTGGTCTTGCGCATGTCATGCCGGTTTCATAACAGTGGAGGTCAACACAAAGGCGTCCGCTCACGGTGACGGGCAAGAAGAACTTGAGCCGCATCCGCAAGTGTTCACATCTTGAAATAAGTTGGGGCAGTAGTTGATATTCTTCAATGTATCCCATTGCTAGAATCACACGCCCTATTTGTTTCATGTGCTGGATTTCGCTTCTTTCTGCAGTTTTGGTGATTCTCTGAGGGGCATGAGGCTTCGATACCAGAACAGGAGGACGGTGAGGAATTGGAGGAGGAGGAGGAGGAGGAGTAGGAGGAGGAGGTGGAGGAGAAGGAAAAGGGGGGGGACGGAGGAGAATGAGGAGGAGGAGGAGGAGTCGGAGGAGGAGGAGAACGAGAACGAGGACGAGGAGGAGGACGAAGAGGACGCCGATGGGGTAGCAGCGACGCCCAGGAGCAGTACCGGCTCCACCAGCTCCGCCTCCGCAACCGCGAGCTGCGCCTGCAGCTGGGCCTCCTGGGGCAGGACGGCCCCGACGTGGACGCGCAGGCGCCCAGGGCCGCCGCCGGCTTCGATCGCTGGCGGCCGTCCTCGGTCGCCGTCGTGGTCGTCGTGGTCGGCGATGTCGTCGTCGTGCTCGTCGTCGTCGTCGTCGTCGTCGCCATCGACGCCATCGACGCCGTAGTCGTCATCGTCGTCGTCGTCGCCGTCGCTGTGTTTCCGACGGTACTGTTGAGTCGGGCGTGTCCCTCTACAGGCGTAGTATCCAAGATCAGTCAAACAATATTCTGGGGACGATGTTTCCGTTCATGTTTGGCAAGTTTAAGCTTGTTGTTCAGACATGCTTCTTAAACAGCATCCTCCAAACTCTCCGCCTGTAGGAGGACATGCCCGCCCTACGGTACGATTCGAAGGCTGACGCCGCACCGCCGACCCCTCGGCCCTGGTCCGGCGAGGCCGTCGCATGCGGGTCGCGCCCCCGAGGCCCAACGCGAGGAGGAGGAGGAGGAGGAGGAGGAAGAAGAGGAAGAAGAGGAATAATAATAATAGTGATGATAATACCACTACTAAAAATAATAATATTGAAAATATTAATAATTATTATTATACTACTAATACTAATAATCATAATATTATTATTAATGATAATAATAATTATTATTATACTTATAATTATTATCATTCTTATAAGAAGAATAAGAAGAAGAAGAAGAAGAAGAAGAAGAAGAAGAAGAGGAGGAGGAGGAGGAGGAGGAGGGAGGAGCAGGAGGAGGAGGAGGAGGGGAACACCGGGAGCTCCTGGGGACCGGCACGGGCTCGGGTCGCCGCCCTTGGCCGCCCTCGAGGGGCCCTTCTCGTGCCGTGCGCGCGGGCGGCGGGGGGGCAGACGCAGCCCCCCGCGGGGGGAGCTCCAGAGATCCAGGCGCTGCACTTGTGCTCCAACGCCGGGCGCGGGCGCCCGGCCTCGGGCCCTGTGGTATTGCAGGATATCTGTGGTATTGGCGAGGCCTCGCGCGCGGGCCTGGCACGGTCCGCTCCGTCCGCGCGCAGGGCCCTTTTCGGCCTGCTGGAGCAGGGAGGAGGAGGGGGAAAGAGGAGTAAGAGGAGGAGGAGGAGGAGGAGGAGGAGGAGGAGGAGGAGGAGGAGGAGGAGGAGGAGGAGGAGGGGAGGAGGGGGAGGAGGAGGAGCAGGGGCGGCGTGCGTCCAGCGCGGCGTGGCGGGAGCGGGTGGGGCTTCGTCGTCGTCGTCGCGGTGTTCGGGCCGGGCGAAAGGGGGGGATTGGGAAAGGGGGGGGAACGAAATGTGCTGCAGGCAGCTGGTTTCGGCCTCTCCGAGGGGCCCATTCCTCGATACATGGCCGCCTCCGGCGCCGGGAGGCGCGGGGAAAATCAGCTACGTGAGCTGATTCTCAAACCCCCCCTT